CTGAAAATGAGCAGAATAGGGCCCCTTTAATGTCAAAGAAATGCAGTACAGAGGTGTGAACTCATTAAAGATCAACTAGGTGTCACACAAAAAGTGAAGTGTTGCATTTAAACTTTATATAGGTATATTTTCCCCGCTATGAGGCACATAACACAGGTGAGCGCGAAGAAATACAATCTAAAAAAGTATTTCCAGTTTCCTCAGAGCTTTAAGTTTTCCCGAGCTCCACCCACCCTAGTCTGAATAATCTGTATTGGCTCAATTATTCAGCAGCATTGCAACAGGGTGTTATGACTCACTGCAGGAGGCGGCAGGAAACAATTTGAAGCCGTCTGCTGCACCTCAGAGGGCTGCGTCGGATTTGTTTGGTTTCTTAAGAAGAGATCACAAACATTCATGCTCCCTGTTGCCGAATGACACTGTTTTACTCTTTTGGCACCACTAAGGTGGTGAAAGTGGAGGAGTTGTGTGCTTTGCCCCCAGGGTGAACACTCCTCTCACCACACAGATCCAGGCATGGTTTGATATCTCCCCTCCGCAGCTTTTGATCGTGCTGTGTAAGCAGTGTTATGAGAGGAGAGAAAGCCCTGCTGTGAATATGAGAACACAGAGCGCCTGTGTTTGTTAAACAACTGCAGAATGGGAGGAATTTCCAGTTTGATAATTACCCCGTGATTATCATTCTGTGCTTTGTATGCAGTACGTCTCATAGAAATGAACGCTGCTGCTGCAGAACTTTATGTAACTGATCACGTATTGTTCCAATGCAATTTTGATATCCTCTCCTTTCTGCACTGCTCACTTATTATTCCATGTGCTTGTAGGAAAGCTTCAGTTCAAATTATGCAGTGTTGTAATGATGTAGCAGTTGACAACATATACTATTAAAGGGGCCCTATTACTGTATGCTCATTTTCAGGTGTATATCAGTATGTAGTGTCTCTACTTTAAAGAGTCCTCTCTGCTGATGTTCAGGTGTATATCAGTATGTAGTGTCTCTACTTTAAAGAGTCCTCTCCTGCTGATGTTCAGGTGTATATCAGTATGTGGTGTCTCTACTTTAAAGAGTCCTCTCTGGCTCTGTTGTGATTGGTCACCGCTTGAAGATGTCCCGCCCCCTTAGCCTATAACGTGTAACGTGTTGGAGCGCTAGCCAATAGAAGTGTGAGTGTTACAGAGTGATGTCACTATGTTCGTTAGTAAACAAAGATGTCCAATGGAGGCTTGGTTTTTGCTCTCCTACATCTAGATTTAATGAACACTTTGCATTTTAGGACTATTTATGTAAACATGAATAATTACTATGAAAAATGAAAATAGTTAAAACTGCTTCCACTATACCCGAATACATCAAATGCTACTAAGTAATAGGTTGTCGAACATTCAATTATTTTATGTTTGCCTAAAATTTTTTTTTATAAAAAACTTATGACAACATTCCCACCAATATCTGAACCAATAATCACAATTAGTAATATATTCCAAGTAGTGGAGCGCTAATAGACGGATAACAACCGAACTCAGCGTGAGATTGAAGGTTAAAGCTGCAGATGGTGGGAATAATGTGTGGTGACTGACACACAGCGAGGTAACTCAAAGGTTTGAACAGGTCGGTGCGTCGGCTCAGAGGGAGAAATTCAATCAGGAGCTCTGAAGGGTTTTGTTTGAAAAAAACTGATTGCTAACACGTCATTCAATTTCACAGAGCGAGATCTGCAGGCTTTGGCTTTACCTCCTCTCAATTAACTGTTCATGAGAATACAAAGGAACAATAGACACATACAGGGCTCATTAATAATACAAATCATCGTGAAACTTATAGGGTTTCTACGATGAACATTTAGTAAAGAACACGGTTTTGTTTGGAGTACAGCATTTGGGGGTTGATGATCGCGCTGATAACGTGACATTAAAGTGAAAAATCGATTAAAAGAATTGCTGCACACTGCTGGAGCTCCAGTTTTACACTCGACATGAACGAGAAGCTTCTGTAAAAGACATAAAAATAAAAAGGGTGAAGAGAATCACACTGAGCTGATGCAGAACGCCCTCACCCCACGGACGATGCCCCCACCGGACACACAATATTCACAAAACTGTGTCTCAGGGCTTCTTAACATTTAACAACCTTACCAAACAGACAATATTAACTTATACTTCTGCAATCTGCACAAACTAGATATCATATGATTCCACAGATTCCAATGGTATAAGTATCATCACTGTGCGACCAGAACTCAGGGCAGCGAAAGCCAGCAAAGACAACACACAACTTCACTTTGCAGGGCCAAAACGGCAAATACGTCTTACCTTTGTGTTTTCTGATCAAAAGTTGTGTTCAATGTAGGCTGAACGATTAATCGATTTTAAATCGAAACTACATACTGATATACACCTGAACATCAGCAGGAGAGGACTCTTTAAAGTAGAGACACTACATACTGATATACACCTGAACATCAGCAGGAGAGGACTCTTTAAAGTAGAGACACTACATACTGATATACACCTGAACATCAGCAGGAGAGGACTCTTTAAAGCAGGAGAGGACTATTTA